TATATATATATATATATGTATATATGTATATATATATATGTATATATGTATATATATGTATATGTATGTATATATATGTATGTATATATGTATATATGTATATATATATATATATATGTATATATATATATATATATATGTATATATATATGTATGTATGTATATATCCATCCATCCATTATCTTTTACCCGCTTCTTCCATTTTGGGTCATGGGGGTCGCCGGTGCCCATGTCCAGCAATCACTGTGCGAGGGACGGGGTACACCCTGGATGAGTCGCAAGTCCATCACAGGGACACATAGAGACAAACGAGACAAACAACCATTCACTCTCTCACTCACACCTAGGGACAATTTAGAGTTACCAATCAGCCTAACATGCATGTTTTTGTCTGTGGGAGGAAACCGTAGTACCCGGAGAAAACCCATGCATGCACCGAGAGAACATGCAAACTCCAGGCCCCTGGACCGGGATTTGAACCAGGGACCTATAAATAAATATATATCTATATATGTTTTTTTAAGGAAAATGTGGTATGGGTGAAATAAATCTTAAACACTACTTTTTGTGATTTTGTGTAAACAACCAAAACCCAGACTTTCGAAAATGATGTCATAGCCCAACATCTAATCTAACTGGTGACCTAAGACCAGTGTTTCCCCTGCCATTTTACAAGCAGGGCGTCCTGTCAACAGAACCGAGCACTTTGCCTACCGAACCAAACACCCCCCCCCCCCCCCAACAACTGCTGACACTGACGTAGCGCTAAGCTAGCAGGGCGCAATACAGATGCGCTAGCTAAAAAGCTACAGAGGTAGCGCACCTTTTCCTTCACGCTGAGCCATCTACACCCCCTACTTGAAAATTGTAGATACAAACAGCACACAGCAAAGACATGTCCCAGTCTCCCGGTCTCTCCCCCCTCACCCCCAACAAAAATCGCGGATTAGACGAGCACCCTGCCAAGGCAAGTAACGTAGGAAAACACTGAAGCCCATCCTCCATTTCTTCTTATGTTTAAATTTCACACAGCGTTTGCAGTCTTTGTGCTCATGCTCCACACCTTGTTTCCTGTTTTTTTTTTTTTTTGGTGGCAGCATTACAGCGCCACATACAGGCCTGGCATAATTACGACAGCACTGTAGGCCATTTTCAATGTTTCTGAGAGAATGAAAACATTTCTACAAACGGTGCCATGCTTTTTGAGGATATACGTCTGTTTTCACGTAGACGAAGCTTATATATGCGTGTTGGTTCTGGATAGGTCCAGCTGAAATAGTCACACTTCTCTACTGATGAATCACAGTATTGTTTGGACAAGTCAATGCACTCTCATAGCATTTATCATCTGTTCAAAGTTGGAATAAAATCTCCCCAAAGGTTTGTTGAAAACAGAAAAGTCACATGTAGGACTTTTCAACAGCACTGCCCAAAAGGTCCTCGAAACATACTGAGATCTAGACCCAGCAGTCACTAGTTTATATGTTAAACTGATGTTCCATGCTCTTGTCACTACTCTTTTTTTAAAGTTGAGCATAATGAATCATGTCCTTGTCGTATAATTTAATTGTCACAGTTATTTAAGGAATGAGAAGTGACTCATTACACCAATTAGCGGAAATGTGATAATCGCTGCAGCACCCTTCTGAAGGAAATCCCTCAAATATTTGTTAAATGGAGGTGGTGACTTTAAAAAAAAATCCAGTGTATTTATTAGATTTTTAGGGGGAATTTGGGGTTTTCGAAGTCCAAAAATTAAGAAAGGCATACTAAGTTGAGCTTTTCTCTCACATTGATAAGCAGCAAAGTTCCAAGTGTTGTACCTCGTTCATGTGTGTTTTCACTCTGCAGTTCCTGAAAGCCTCCTGTGGGCATGCCCTCCAGCAGCATGGAGGACAGCTTCTGATCCAGCTTGTCCACAGATGAAACCTTAAGAGCCTGAAAAGAAGCAACACTTTCAAATGTTTTGTGGCTGACGGGGAATGTGGGGAACTTTTCTTTTAGGGGCCAAAGCTAGCAAGATTAAATCCCAGCATCATAGAACCAGTGGCGGTGATATTGGAAATCTATATAGACACACAATAAAAATGTCAGGTATAATTTAGCCATACAAGCGTCAAACTTCGGCCTCGTTTGGTCCTCACTTTTAGTTTGTAAACTCTTCTGGTAAATTCTTTCTCCGGCTTGGCTCAACTTTGCTTTGTCAGCAAAACCGGCCTGATCAAATCAAGCGTTCATTACGGAAAGACGGATGAAACCTGCCGTCCCTTCAGTTTGAGAGAGCAGAAAGAAAACCCACTCATTTAAACATCAGCTGAAATACACCGATTGTTTCACGACTTTCTAATGGCTTGTTGTGAATCTTAACGTTAATAAACTAGTTTCCGCTGTCGAGTTATGTAACAAAATGCAAAACCGACAAATACGTTAAAAGTGCCTTGTTACTTTTATTGAGAAGATGGAGAAATAAAAGCAAACGTAAAACTGCTTCCTGCATGACAAAGATAAAACTTACTGCAGATATTTGAAGATTTGCAAACACTTTTAGTTAGTTAATAGTAATAGTTTATGTTCTATAACTTCTATGAGATAAAATGAGCTGGAAATGCAAATGTAGGATTTAACAAATTTTGTGACTGTTCCATTTTACAGCATATTGGAAATCTATAACAAAATTGATGATAGAAAAGTTTGAAGGCATAAGTTAGATATTTTGAAGTGAGTTTCGGATACAAGGTTATGAACAATAATATCGTACCTGCCACAGATAGCACTCTAAACCAATGGGCGTGGCTATGGGTGTGGCTAATGGGACTTAGTGTTACGTCCACTATGAACATACCATATTAAAGGAGGACACAAGACACAAATGTGAGGGTTCTAAACATACAATTGATTGAAGCGCCTGCTTCCTGTAAAAAAAACAACAAAAGATTATTAAGAACCCCTAATTCCCGTGTCCACCCAAGAAACACAAAAAACTCAAAGTATGAAGTTAAAGATAGACCTGGTGACCAGGTCAAAACAGAACAAAAAAGTACTGCAGCGGGCCAACCCTATACAGGGCCGTCGAAGCCGCTGCTGGTACCAGACTAAGGTTGTTTTCACACTAGATAGTCCGGTAGACTCGGTTCGGTTCGGGACCAATATTCATGAGCTTTTGTTTACATTTGAGCTGGTGTGTTTGCATTCACACTGCACTGTGCAGTCGAGTCAACCTGTTGAACCAACCTGTTCCCCCGCTCGCCTGTGGGGGCGCTGCACCAAGAACTACTGAAAGAAACGACACAAAAACCTCTGAAGACACGTCTTCTTCTTCTTCTGTAAATAAAAATAAAAACGAAGTGGCATCAAGTTTTAGCAGTTTTAGGAGTTATATTTTGTCATTTTTCAAAAATGGACTTCGCATGAGCAGAAGATGAGACAGAAGACCATGGAGAATATTGTTTTTCACACAAGGCAGCTGACGGCTCCATATAAGGTCAGAGAAATGCATGTTTGTTTGTCCTGCGGAGTGGGGCTCGGTCTGTTTACATTCACACTGTACTGAACCGCGCTGGAGTTCGCTTCTACCAGACCGAGACCTAGGTTTTAGCCCGGGCCAGAGTTCGCCTTTTTGTTCCATGACAGAGTTCGATGGCGCGTTCACACCTCCCTAAACGAGCCGGACTTTCAAGGAAAACGAGCTAGAGTTCGATTAAAGTGGACTAAACAGGGCTAGTGTGAATGCACCCTAAAACTAGAAAAAAACCTACAAAAAAAAATCTATTACAAAAAAAGGGTGAAAACAGGACAACTGTTGCCACCAGGCCAAAGTTACAAACAATATACAAAAAAGTTAACAAAAATTACCTGTGGTGGCTGAGGCCACCGACAGCAGGCCACAGCTCCAGGACAAAGAAAAAACAAGGGTACCGGGAAAACCAGGGCGGACAAAAAAAAAGGTCCAAACAAAAGAGGCCCAAATTGGAGAAAGCTTCTGAGAGGCCCAAAATGGAGAAAGCTTCTGAGAGGCCCAAAATGGAGAGAGCTTCTGAGAGGCCCAAAATGGAGAAAGCTTCTGAGAGGCCCAAAATG